AACATGGACAGTGGGCGCGGGGGAAAAGAAAAGGTTGGAAGCGTTCGAAATGTGGTGTTACAATAAGAACGATAATTTAAATTATTATAATTTTCATTCTTCATTTGTAGCTTTCTGAATTTTTTAAATAAATTATTTCCACATTTATCATATTATCTGAAGTTAACCTTTGTTGAAACATATTCCTAAGAAAATAAAGTTTTCAAGAAAAATAGTAATAACAGTTCTGACCGAAGGAAAGAGAACAATGGCTTATTTAATTGTAAGATAATCTGAGGTACGGAAGTCTTTTCTGAGACCTATGTGCTTTCTTATTATTCTGGATATGATTTATAAATACATATTGAAAATCTTAAACACTTTTTTCAAAAGACAACACAATTAAGTGTATATCCTGTCACAAGTGGATGCATGAAATTAGTGGTGGAACAGATGAAGTTAACGAAAATTTAATTTGTTATCATTAGTTATAAAGTTATTGTACCTTTTAACCTCCTTGTGTGGAAAAGTCCTTATTAGGTATAGTGATACATTACCTCTTATAAAAATTTTGAAATGAACTACTTGAATAAAATAATAATCAGTCAATCGTTTTAACTAGAGAAAACTATGCGTTTTTATATATTAAGTTCTTATCGTCTATTTTCCACACTTCCCCTACCTAAATATCCGAATATGGTTTATTAGAGATGTTGCTTTTAGAGCACCTTGCTGTACTTTATTAGAATCAATTTTAATATTTCAATTTTTCAATATACTGGAAGCTATAACACCACTTGCAGAGCTAAACCCCGATGTATTTCCATTTATAAAGTGAATTTTCTACGGTATTAGCAGCTCGGCGGCAGGATATTGAAAATCGAACTTGCAAAATAGTAAAAAGTATCACAAAACCACATTGAAAATCAACTGCTGTAAACGTCAGTCATTGTCACAGCGATAGAGGGGGATGTGCGTTAGCCAAGAATCTGTTCAAGATGATAAGAAGCGTTTCTTTACGTGAACTTCGAACATAAGACACTTTTTGTTGTTAAAACCGCATCTGTTATACTGGCATGAAATTTAAAAAAGGTACAGGACATTAAAATGGTAATCATGAATTTCATTTAAATTGTGTTTGGAAACGGCCAACAGATAAAAGTAATAAATTTTTACGGCCTATTTTATTGTTCTGATATATTAATTTTCAAAAAGATGATAAATAAGATTTTGTTCCGATAAGCTTTCGTTATAAAAATGCGGAACCAGATGCAGAAGCGGATGATAAAAAGTATGCGGAACTTCCGCACCTAAGGAAACGGAAACAGAGTTGTATGTGTATGTGTATTGTGTATATAATGGATGTTATGATTTTGGAACAGAGATGGTAATAAACTCTGCAAAACTGTAGTTCCTTTCAACGTTATAGTGGTGTAATCAGACAACAACACAGAATCTATAGAATAGCGATTTCGATCTTTTTGGATCTCATCAGCGCGTCGCAGACAGCTCCGGCAGAACACACACCAACTTTTACCTGCTGTCTTAACAGTGCGTTTTAGAAAATACCACAAATGGCGCGGTAAACGCCATCTGTAGTGCGATGTTACATTTTAGGATTACGTATGCTCCAACAATTTCGATCTTTTTGGATCTCATCGCGATCCGCGTCTGGCAGTTTCGACAGAATACAGACCACTTCGAATTATTTTATTCGATTATGGTAACGTGCCTATCACGTTGAGGTTAGCTACGCCGGGATTCGTTTCAGCAAGTAGATATCCACACAAGTGGACTTTGTTGGAGCATACGTAATCCTAAAATGTAGCATCGTACTACAGATGGCGTTAATCGCGCCATTTGTGGTATTTTCTAAAACGTACTATTAAGACAGCAGGTAAAAGTTGCTCTGTGTTCCGTCGGAGTTGTCTGTGACGCGCTGATGAGATCCAAAAAGATGGAAATCGCGATCCGCGTCTGGCGGTTTCGACAGAATACAGACCACATCGAATTATTGTACAGAAGCTATAGTTTAAACGACGCATGAAGGCTAAATGCCGTTGTAACGAAACGTTGATAGGTCTATATACAAGTTTTACATTCTGTATAGGTGTCTGATTACTTTTAATCTACACGTCAAGAAGTACCAGAATCCAATGTTTCAGAGATTGATAAAGGGCAATTTTCCGTAAGAATCTAGCGAGACCCTTTTCAAATTAACTATTTTATTAAAAACATTAGGGCACTACATTCAGTTATATTTTTATGATTAAAAATAAGGAAATAAATTTCATTCTTTTTTTACATAAAGTCCTTATTTAACGAGGTCTGTCAAACTTCTAAGAAAAATACTTTTTTCTTATTACACCTGACATTTTCAAAGTTAGCTAACACAATTTAACAGTTGGAATTAAAAATTAAATCTTATTTTTAGATTTCTCCAAATACAATAACTTATTTTATTCTTTGAAAAGCTCTGTTCTCCAGCATCGCATTGAGAGTAAGGTAAAAGTGAAAAATACTTTTCCGATTTTTAATATCAATCAGAGCTAAAATACAATTTGAATGGCATAGTATTTATAGATACTTATAAATAAAATAGTATTTAACGTCCTTTACAAATCGAAGGCTACCTCATGTAATATCTGTAGTAAAAAATTAATCTTTTGAATTTTAAAATTATGTACTGCTTTTAACAACGTACAAATCAATTGCCTAATGTTTATTTTTTCCGATTTTCAAGTTTCCTGAATTATTCTTCTATTCTTTTTACGTATATTTTCTTGCACAAAGCCATCGGAAACGTATGTATCTATTATATAAAAACCGAAGAGTGCAGTCCGTAACTCCAACCTTCCCCAGGATGATACAGCAAATTTTTGCTGCAAAACTGTAATCTCAGGAACACGGTGGTCAAATTAAGACTCTTACTTATTCTTATGTAATTGGAGATAAACTTTCAAGATACCCTTAATTGTAAACCTAATGTTATAAAGTGGCTGATTTTAGAAATCTAAGAAGTCAGATAAGTCAGGGCGGAAGAAGTAGTAGGGATATAAAGCAGAGGATAGCGCAGGGTCGAGTCGCCTTCAATAAAAAAAAGTCACTTCTATGTTCGCGAACGGTTAATTTAGAAATTCGAAAAAAGATTGTTAAAGGTGTATCTTTGGAGCGCGGCGCCGAACGATGCGAAACATGGACGGTGAGCGCGGCGGAAAAGAAAAGGTTGGAAGCGTTCGAAATGTGGTGTTACAGACGAATGATGAGGATACCGTGGATAGAGAAGGCTAGAAATGATGACATATTAGAAAAAATAGGAAAACAAAGGACCCTATGGAAGTTATTCAAAAATAGGCGAGATAGGTTGGTAGGACACCTTCTCAGGCATGAAGGTCCAGTCAGAAACATATTAGAAGCAGAAACAGGAGTTAAAAGGAGTGGAGGTAGAACTAGATTAGATTACTGTTCCCGAGATAAACATGTTCAGTCTCTCAGAATCTCTGAAAGTGAGACTCGAGTCTCCGTCTCTCATCGAGTCTGTCTGGTGTCGCTAAGAGAGACTGTCGAGAGACTGTCAAAAAATCTGTTTAGCGTCTCTGAACGAGAAACTCGAGTCGCTCATAGAGAGATCCTCATTTCGTATCCAGTATCTGAACAAGAGACTCGAATCTCTCAATAGTAGTACCTCTCGATAGACGTAGTTAAAATTTTCTAAGTTCAACATATCTCTTTCTACAAGAGACTCGAGTATTTCAATTTTTCAGTTTTATTCATTCAGTCTCTCTGTGAGAGACTCAAATCTCTGAATTAACAATTTTATCGTTGGAGTCTCTAGGTAACGCCTAGGCAATAACTGAGAGACTGTGAAAGACTGTGAGAGACGCTCGCAGCAAATAGTTAAGGATGTAGGGTGTTCTAGTTTAAAGGAAATGCGAAGAAGAAGCTCAAGGTAGGAAGGGGTGAAGGTGCGTGTCCAACCAGTCTTAGGACTGACGACCTTATGATGATAATTATGAACATTTACAAAGGTAATGCTAGGTAATTCATATAACAGGTCAATTGAAAAGTCCCCTGCCTAAAATACTAAAACACATTTTTTTTGCAAAATTCGTTTTTTTTATTCAACATAATTCCCTTCAAGGGTGATATACTGATTATAGCGATCCTCCAACTTTTCGATACCATTTTTGTAGTACGATTTGTCCTTTGCTTCAAAATAGACCTCAGTTTCGGCGATCACCTTTTCATTCGACGAAAATGTTTTCCCAACGAGCATTCTTTTGAGATCTGAGAACAGGAAGTAGTCGTTGGGGGGCCAGATCTGGAGAATACGGTGGATGCGGAAGCAATTCGAAGCCCAATTCATGAATTTTTGCCATCGTTTTCACTGACTTGTGAGACGGTGCATTGTCTTGGTGAAGCAGGACTTTCTTTTTCTGCAAATGCGGTCGTTTCTCGGCGATTTCGTCCTTCAAACGGTCCAATAACGCTATGTAATAGTCGCTGTTGATGGTCCTTCCTTTTTCAAGGTAGTCAATGAAAATTATTCCACGCGCATCCCTAAATACAGACGCCATAACCTTGCCAGCTAATTGTTGCGTTTTTGCACGCTTTGGAGCGGGTTCATCGTGTGCAGTCCACTCCGATGACTGTCGATTGGACTTCGGAGTGAAATGATGGAGTCATGTTTCATCCATTGTCACATATCGACGCAAAAACTCGGGTTTATTACGCGTGATCATCTTCAAACACTGCTCTAAATCATCAACTCGTCGTTGTTTTTGGTCAAAAGTGAGCTCGCGCGACACCCACTTTGCACAGAGCTTTCTCATACCCAA